TGTAGTTCAAGAACATCTGGAGGCCCAAGGTTGGGGACCACTGATCTAAAGGATATGATGACTTTGCATCTCACCCCTCCATGGGCATGTAGGCCTGTGGAACTGCCTGCCTCAAGAGACCTGCCCAGGTCTCTTCTTCCTTGTGAGAGCTAGGCTGATGCTGAAGATCATCCTGCTTCAAAGGACCTTCATTGGGTTATCTCCATGGCTGAAGCCACTTCTGTTTCTTTTGTCACAGCTCTGACTGCACTTCTTTGACTTTTTCCTTGCCGCTTATGAAAATACTGGAACAAAGGAAGTTCCTGCATGATCTTCAAGCGCAGACCCACAAGAAGCACAGGGTTGTAGCCGAAACATGATATAACTCATGCACGGATGACTCTGGAGCGGGTTGTGCAAACAGGCAAGTCAGCCACTCCCGAAGCCCAGGCTTCCAGCTTCAGGGCTGTTCTCCTGTTGCATGAAAAGACACTTATTTAACTCCGGGTGGAGGAGGGATAGACTGGGAGCTTTTGCAAAGCGCCCTTCCGCCACCCTCGCAATGACTGAATGAGCCAAAGGCAAATGAGAGTTTGCGGCGTGAGTCCCCAAGTTCTGCTCAGTGCACGAGTCTGGGCTCAGTGTTAGAATTAGGCTGGCTTCACAGCAAGAGATGAGAACAGTCTTCCCCCCCCCAAAAAAAAATCCGTAGAGTTTGGGGCTTCAAAGCTTCCTGCCCTCGTTCTGCCCATCATTTCCTCTCTTTCAGCAGAAATGGCCCGGGGCATCTCGCTCGTCTGTTTGCGAGTTTTTGATTTGGACCGGATTTCCAGGATCTGCTTCCTTGCTGGCTTCCACTGAGATTCCTTTTGAGACAGCTGAATAAATAAATTTCCCTTGAACGCCAGCACCCTCTTCAGGGCAAACCACTAGCATTTTTCAAAACAAAACAAAAAAAGGGGGGGGAGGTGCCATGTGATCCCGTTTCACACAATCCAAAGGCAGAATTGTGCATTTGCACTAATGGGGCGGTATATAAACCCAGTAAATAATAAACACGTCCTTCCTCTCACGGGGAGGGCGGCGCTTTGAGACCACCTTGTAGTCTGCCCAAGGCTATATAGGCTGGTTCTTCTCCAAGGGGACAGAGTGGGG